CCCCCACCCCCCCGTGGATCGAGACATCTTTTAAAAAGTTACACCATGATGAAGGTATTTCCCTCCGGTCCTGAGACGTTTTATTGCCTTTCATTCATTGTGCCCTGACCTCCCATTATCACTTTTCGCCCTTGGCTGAACTTGTGACTATTTTCTAATTTATTTTATCATCTCTAAGTTTCAGCTTCCTAGTTGTAGATTCTAACAATATTAAAAATCATACTCATGGATTGTGTGGGAGGTTGAGTTATGATGGCTGCTAATAGTAACTCATTAATAGTTAAGCTCAGGGAATCCAAGATCAGTGCCCACCATATCTGAGGGGCACAGGATCCGAAACTCCGAAATTGGTGAGTGGAGGGGCAGCTGAAGCCAGAACACTGACACTGAGGCTTCCTGGGCGAGAGAGGACAACCTGTGAGCTGAGACAGTTTGGATCCAGGTCACACGTGTACATCTCTGGGGACTGAGAGTGGCGAACATTTGATGCCCCTGAATGACCCCCCTGCACTTCCCCTTGCCCTACACTGGTCTCCTTGCTCAGAGGGGGCAGCAGTGGTTACCCTAAGCAAGAGCGTCCAAGCTCGGTAACCAAGACAACAGAGGCAGCTGCTGTATGAGCCTCCCAGGTCCGTGGCTGCGGCAGGCAGCAGTGGCTAGCCCTAGCAGGAGCCTCCATGCTCAGTGACTGAGACTGTAGCCGCACTGCCCCAGGTACGAGTCTCCCTGCCCAGCGGACAAACAGTGGACACCACTGAGCTGACAGATCTCCAACATTTTCATTTGCCCCTGTGGGCCCAAATCTGAGAGTAGAGAACAGGGGAATCGCTATTCATTCTGATTAAACCTGCGAGCCAGTGAGTACTTCAAGTGAGTACAGAGCCCCAGATCTAACAGCAAGACAGTGGATCCCTCCCAGCCACACCCCCACTGTGGGAAACATAGGGATCCTTGGGACAGATCTGAATACCAGGAGGACAGTACAAAAGGCCTGTAGGCCACTGAGGTGTTCAGGGCACCTTCCATGCGCACCCGCACTCCCTCCTGTACTTAAGCGCCACCCTTCCAGGCATCTATATGCTCTGGTACCCTCTCCCTCAAGGCACACTGCAATACAGACACCTGCGCTTGTGCATATGCGCCTGCAACCTTCCTCCATCAGCTACAGCTGAAACACAAACATCCATTCTCAAACCGATGGACCTCTCTCGTCTTCCAGAAGAATACTCCAGACACCAGAGACAGACCAAGTCCGAAGTACAGACTCCAGGAACAAACAGCAAAGGTTACAGATAAGCAGATGGCTAGAGGTCGGCATAAGAACACATCCAACAAAAATTAGGACATCATGGCTTCACCAGTAACCCCAAAATCAATGGATATTTTAATTCATCGAAAACACAGGAAAATAATTTTAAATCTCTGCTTATTCAGTTATTAGAGGCACATGAAGAAGAAACAAACAAAGCTCTCAAAGAAATGGCCACACAAATGAAGGCAAATAAAGAGGAAATGAAAAAAGCTCTCAAGGAAATACAGGCTAATATAGCCAAACAAATGGAGGCACATGTAGAGACATATAGAGTAGTGGCATATAGAGAGGAAACAAACAAACAAAAAAATAAAGGCATCATGGAAAGACAGGAATACACATTCAAACAGATGAAGGAAATGTTGCAAGGCATGAAAACAGAATTAGAATCAATAAAGACAACACAAACAGAAAAAACCCTGGAGCTGGAGAACTTTAAAGAAAATCAGTAAAGTTCCAAACACAAAACACCCCAGAAATCAAGGACGCCATGAAAAGACAAAATAGA